ATATTGCTTTCTTAGATTCCTTACGAGGCTCTTTATATCTTTCCCAATTATCGAAATTTTTAAAATTAAACCAATTTTTATAACAAATCTTCTTATTTTTAATCTTTTCTTGCACATTTGAATTCCACCGCCAACTATTTTTACTATTATGAGTTTTTCCCTTTGATACTCCAAGCACATCTTTTGCAATATTCTTAATATCACTAGCCACTTTTTCCCACATAAAATTAGCATCCTCATGCACAGACAAAATCTTAAAATTAAAAATCATACTCTCAAAAATATTTTTATTAATATTCTTTAAATGCCCCCATCTAATCCTAGAATATCGAAACCTTATCAAAAATAACATTAGCATCCTCATGCACAGACAAAATCTTAAGATCAAAAATATTACTCTAAAAAATATTTTTATTAATATTCTTTAAATGCCCCCATCTAATCCTAGAATATCGGTTTAGAATATCTAATCCTCATTGTTGATCGAACCAACAATGTGGAGGTATAAATCGAAACCTTATCAAAGATAAATTTTAAAATAGAGATCTATGTGTTTTATATATTCACTCCTTAGAGTGGACTGCTGACAGTCTTACCAAAAGATTGATAAGGCCCTTATTTAAAAAATTATTGAAACTTTGGCTTATATGATATATACAATTCAAATTGACAGGAGTGTTAAAATGAGGGTTGTCTCCCTTATCAAAGAGGGTTAGAACAATATTAATTGATCACCAATTATACTTGCACACAACCCAAACAAGATATTATATTATTATCATGTGTGTGGACAGCAAGCCTCCTTCCTAAATGGCAATTCATGTAGGGGTGTCAATTTCGGGTCACGGGGCGGGTTCGGGTCAAACCCGGAACTGACCCGGCACAATTTGATTCAACCCAAACTTGACCTGTTTTACAAACGGGTCTGTTTTTCAGACCCTAACCCGACCCACTTCGGGTTCGGATCAACCCGACACGACCTAAAAGTGGGATGTTGGACGCGGGTTTACCATACTTTGGCATTTTGCGAGCTACCGAGCATGGCGGATGGCCGGATGCAATCAATCGAATGGACCACACTGGTGTCACGGTGCGTGGGACGGCGACGATGGCAGAGTCGCAGATGGCCGGATGTGACCCTATTAGCTATTCGGTTTGACGCTTAAGGCTAAGGCGGATGACGGATGTGGATCGCTGGCCTGGCGGACGCGGCTAACGCAGATGATTGGTGGACGCTTGACGGCATGAGTGACTGACGCGACGTCTCTTCAGACGCAAGTGACGCGACAGGATGGAAGAGAGCGGGAAACGTCTATCTGGGTAGATTTTGGGTTTTCCGGGTCAACCCGGACTAGATCAGTTTCGGGTTTGGGTTGACTCGAACCAGAAATTTTCGTGTCGGGTTCGAGTCGGATTTTCGGGTAGTGTCAAATATTGACACCCCTAATTTCCTGCATAGTAAAAGCTAGCAGTTTTCTCCCTACATATAAATCCTGCTAGGTAAAATAAAGGAAAGCACGTAGTCGTTCCTGTATTCGTAACTCCTACAGCCACTCAAGCTTTGCCAACTTGCCGTTTCAAGTTTGGTTACTAAAGTGGTGCAATTGGGAGGCAGATTTCAATGAATTCTAGCTGCTATATTTACTAGTTTTTTTTTTCTTCAAAAACTGGGTGTATCATTCAAACTTCCTTTATTACTAGAATATGTTTTTTTTTTATTCCAAGTTTTACACCTATGTAAACATCTATTTATAGGTCCTGTTTTCAGCAATTGAAAGAAATGGAATATTCCACTTTCTTTCTACCCTATTTCTCTTCTACTTCTTTCTTACGTAACTACATCATATCTACTTAACCATACTAAAATCTTGTCATGCACTTGATCCTCTATCTTGCGGTAAATAATATTTGAAATAAATGATTTCTCAATGTTTGTTGGAATTTTTTTTTTCAAACTGTGCTTATCACTATTAAGACCAACATAACTCATATTCATGGGCAGACCCCCATTGACTTGAGGGGGGGGCATTTTCCCCCCTCAAAAAATTATTATTTTTTATTTTAGAGGGATTGTTTGGAATATTTTGGGTATTTTTGGAATTTTGCCCCCTCTCAAAAAAATTTTTTGCCCTCATTTTATAAATCATAAGCATCTTTGCCCATCCCCACAAAAAAAAATATTTTTGCCCACCCTGAAAAAAGAAGCTGGATCCACCCCTGCTCATATTAGTCTATTAAACTGAATGATTATATGAGCTGCTAGAAAAAGGAAATAAAAAATACTTTATCCTTTAAGAATTTGGAGCAATACCTATCAAATAGACACTTATAGAGCCAACCTTCTCAAAAAGCTTAAGATTATATCATGAAGTCTCGTGATACTATAATATGTTGGATATATGCACACTTATGATGCACAGACACTGACACGGTGATAAGTCATCAATTATTGAAAATATAAGACATAGATATGAGTTGGACACTACATTATATTCATATCTTAAATATAGTATATAAAAATTGAATATACAGAATAGTAAAAATAATTGAGAAATAATAAATCATTTAAATAGCATTCGTGCTTAAAATAATAAATATTAAGATGTTGAGAGTCGATCGTTGATGTCTTATGTCAGGCATCGAGATGGGAGACAACAATTTTGTAAAGAGTCGAGCATCAATGTTATGCAATGGGCATCGAACGTCAATGTTGAGATGTTGAAACGGTTGTCCATCAATGTTTAGATGATGCTAAACAAAGATGAAATGTTGAGACAACACGATGGCATAATTGTGGGTGTAGAAATTGATAATGTCAAGCGTCATGTCAAGACAGCGTTAGACTTCAATATTGAGATGGTTTTGAAATGTTGATCTTGTGACGGCGTCGAAAGACAATTTTGAGATGACATTGGGCGTTGTTATGAAATCCTAATCGCAACCCACGAGAGAAATGAAATGTGAATGTTCATGAAATGGGGGAATGAGTGTAGTCGTTTGATTTGGGACAGTGGAGAGGAGATAAGAAATAAAGTTTTCATTTTTGTAATAAATAAAATTTTGAAATAGAAGAAATTTGTTTTTTATTCCTAAAAGATTTAAGGTGCGTGTCGAATTTATTTTTACTATTTTTTTAATCAAACACATCTTAGGCATGTCCAACATGTGTCAGAGGTGTGTCTGATACGTGTCGAACATTGCATACCTCTCTGAGGGGAAGAAGTCGGTGCATCATAGATGCACACATGCATCGAAAGCTAGTAAGCTAATGAAGAATGAAAAAGAACTGAAAGAAAATTATTTTACATGTTGATGGATGCAAACGTTATGTACAAAATCATGTTTACATGGCCCATGCATGTAACCTCCATTCTTATTTACAGAACTCAAATAAACAGCTGGGTTCATCTTCCTAGCCTAGCACATGAATAGGCAACTTTAGACTGTTTCAAGCCCAAATTTATAACAATTGTAGGCTGTAGCAAAGTCACGGGATAGACTAGGATTGGGCAGCCCTACAATAGGGCATCGCATATGAACTAAGACCATATGGTATATGTAAAAACATAGCAGTCACAACATATGAATCAATGTCTGATTTCGTCTGTGAATATAAATATAACTATCATACTAATATGGATATGTAGGACATGTAAATGTGTATAGACACATAAGTGGGAGTCCTATGACCATGTCACGCTTCTAATGAAAAACTTCCAATGGCCACATGAAGTTCCAAGGCTCTAGGCGGGCTGTAAGGCTTGGGCTTGCATCAAAAAGACAGGCCTACATTATATATATTTTTAGAAAACAGCTTAAACACATCCACCTTTGTTGAATATCATCTTCTAAGAAAAATATTTTTTGATCTTCATCCTTAATACACTTCACTTGAAGTAAATCCTTATTACTCCTATCTCTTTGTTTGACTAACTTATACATATATATTTCTCTCTTTAGTGTCTAATCTATTATATAAATCACTAAAAGCTAATGTCTTTGCATCGCATATTGCTTTCTTAGCATCCTTACGAGCCACTTTATATATTTCCCAATTATCAGCGGAGACAATTTCTTAAAGGATTCATATCATTATTGTTCGACAAGTTTTACGCTGGCTGTCGACTACCTAACGCAACCCTCCACTTTTCTCATCTAGGACTTGGGACCTGGCAACGACAGTGTTTCCCAAGTTATTAGATATATAAAAAAAATCATCTTTGAAACATAATGATTAAACATTTAAACATTTTCAAGGTGTACTGCGATCTTTGTGTATTTGTATAAAATATATGAAGTATGCAACATCACCAGTTAAGAGAAAATAATGTTCAAGACTAAGAAAGGGTTTGTAATGCCGAGAAGTCTTTCAATAGCAATTTTAAGGCTGCCCATAAATGCATAATCTGGGAAAAAGTGCCTCACCTAACCAAAGAGCGAATAAGGAGATTCCGAACAACAATATTGGTGGAAGGTCGCCCATATTTGATTCCATACTGATCCCAACCGCTCTTAATTGCTATTCCATCATCACCAACGCTTATGTAGCAATTCTCTATTACCACATTCTCACAAGAATCTGCAATGAAACACATCCAAGAAAAAAATTGTCACTGGGTATGTACAATACAAAATTAAGATTTGATAATAGTTGATAAAAACATTGTTCAGCAAAATTTTCTTTGATAGGAAAGTAATCGTTATGATAAGATTTTCTAATAATGTTTTTACATACGACATTCACAAATTAGTTGTGTCAGTAGTGAGAAATGAAGTATTAAAAAACCAATCGACAGTTCTGCGCACACAGCATAGGTAGTCCAAAAGGCTTTCCCAAGTAACGTTGAGAAAGTATCTTATGGTACAAAAAATAAACAAAGATTCTAGATCTGCCAACAAAAATAAGAGACAGCCGGACTAAGAAAAGAAACATATATAAATCTAGGTTTGGCAAAAAAAAAAGAGGCAGCTGAGGGCACATAAACCAAAAAAAAAAACTAACAAGGCAACAACATAAAATACTATTACGTATAAAAGAAATTTTTGAGCTTGTGCTATTGCAATTATCATATCAATATCCAATTATCCATAGTTGTTATCAATATCCTAAACTGATTGTTATCAATATCCTAAACTGAATACATGCTTACTTATCTGATATCGTAGTTATGGCAAATATATCATGTCAATTATATACGTCTTTTAATAAGAACAGAGCAGATTCAAAACAAGTTAAGACTTCGTAAAAATGATACATTATGGGGTTAGCATGCCCAGAGAACACTATTATTGCCTCTAAACTAATCCATCTCCCCCGTAGTTGTTCATACAAGTCTTCTCAATTAAACAGATCATGGTTGAAGCAAGTCCAAGCATTACTAAAATAAATTTCTCCAACGAAAACCCCATTTCTCTAACACATGGACCTAAGGAACCAAGGCTACTACAGGAGTGACATTACAAACCATAAGGAACAGATGGATAGGAAATAACATTTGAATCATTCAAGAATGCCACATCGTTCACAATCCCAATCTTGTTTAAGTTTTTAGCAATACAAAAGACAACTGAAAAACAAAGACTAGATTTGCAGCCAATAACGAGAAATATATGACAAAACATTGAAGAATTCAAAGGTTAAGTGTGACTGTTTACCTGGATCTATGCCATCGGTGTTTGGAGCTTCGGAAATAGGAGCCAAAATTGTAACCTTTGAAATAGTAATATTCTTACAGTCATAAGGATGAAGAGTCCAGAATGGTGAATTCATGAGTGTTATGTTAGAAATATTTATGTGATCTGACCACATAAATTGTACAAGAGGACCTCTAGTGTAATTAAGACTTCTCCTGCGAAATTTTGTCCACCATGATTTGCCCTGCCCGTCTATAGTGCCATTGTGACCTGAAGAAAAAATAGGATAATTTCTTAACAGCAAAATTAGTAGCTCGCTTTGGCTTTGACCACATGAAAGAGTGATCCTCAGGATATCCCTTGTACTGAGCCTTCTCATCATTAATGCTCAAAAAATTACATGTTTGAAATACAATGGGTTAACTGCTTAGAAGTAACACAAATCCAAAGTTCCATCAAACACTTCATAAACTCAAAAGGACACCTCAAAACCTTCTTTACTAAATTTTCAAAAAAAAAAAAATTTGCCTTGTTCAAATTAGCATGAATTATTAAACAAACTTGTACATATTTCAAAATGATTCATCTAATCTTTTCTTCAACTCACTATCTCACTCTCACATCTTAAAACACCAAAGATCAACAAGTATCTCTCTACTCAGCCATAATGCTAGCAGTGGTAAAGCAATGCAGTGGCTTCTTGTTCAACTAAACCTTCCCTAGTCCAACCATCATCACCGGTTGCGTCTACTCCAACCACCACGTCAACATACCCCTAGCTATCTGTCCTCTCTCAACCTCCCCTATCCAATGACCGGACAGTTTCCCTTATGACCAACACAGCAGTCTTCACTCCAAAGTGTGTTCATCTCCAACCATTAAACAACTCCAACTCTATTATCCCTTCTGCTTTCCAAAAATTCATCACAGCACATCAACAAGTGCTGACCCTCGAGCTCTTTCAACTAGATCGGTTGTGGAGAAACCAAAAAAAATTACCACGCATGATAGGCTTTCATCAATAATCAAAAGTATAGTTCATAAGGTTTCTAAATTGTTCATATGTGTATTTACAATAAGTAGTTGGATGAAAAGTATTGGCGTTACCAAATGAATGATGTCTCAATCATAGTTGTCTTGATTAATAAGAAGCTAGAATAATATGTTTTGGATCAATATAATTGATGTAGACAAAGGGGGGGTCAACACAAGTCCAAAATAAATCATATTTTGGCTTCCCTTGAGTCTACGCAAGTGCCGCTCCACCTGTATCCTTCTTCTCAAAGTGCAGCAACTTTAGGGTGTCTGTCGTGTTGTTTGTAAGTCGTCGTCATAGTTTTTTTTATTTGGTTTTAAAATTGAAATGTAAGAGTTTGTTCTTCCCTATTGTTCTCGTCTCTTTTCTCCTCCTCAATTTCGTCGTTAGAAGTCCGCCGTCCTCTCTTTTGTGGGCGAAGGGTATAGGCTCCCTATATCTTTTGCCCGCATCAATAATAGATACTTAAGTGTTATGGTGTTCAATTTAGATGATACAGATGCAATAATGGTCGATCAATAATAACTAAACAGAAATGCATAAACATAATAAATTTAGATCTCTTGAATCTAGCATAAAAAATAGAATAAAAAGATGTAGGACGGGAACAAGCAGGGTTCTGCTAGAGTATTTTGGGATGACAAAATCTTACAAAGTTAGCTGGAAAGTTTAATACATAAAAGCCATAAGACATTGCATGTGGTAGATTTAAATGTTGGGTCACAAAGAAATCACTCAAAACCAAGCTAAGGCAACAATAGGAACATTAAGATAATTGTGAAGAAAATACCATAGAAATTAGATTTAGGGGCCGCTTGGTTGGCCAAATTGTCAGCAAGGAGTAAAGTAAACGGAGGAGTTTTGAAAATTTAGGCATTTGGATGGTTGAATTTCAAGTGCAATATATTTGGAGAGTGCATTTAAAAATCATCCTCTAGTTCATTTTGAGTGTATTTGGAATTCGCCCATTTTGAGCGAATTCCAAATACATATCTAGGATAAAAGTGATGTTATCTTCATCAGACTACTACACCATTGCAGCCCTTGGACGCCCACACAATTGGCTACCTCCAATAAACTATCATTCTAAATGCACTGTTATTTTATTTTACATTCATTTTACTTCAACCAAACAAAAAAAGTAAAACATTGCATTTGTAGTGTACTAAACCAAACAACTTGAAAAGAATTTTTAATACATTACTTTTACTTTATATTTACATTCCTTCTACTTTGCATTCTTTTTCCATTAAACTAAATAGCTCCTTACATAATTTAGGCATCTACAATGAATTAAATTTTAAATTTTTTTAATCATGTTGTGTGGGATACTTTGTCAAGCGTTGAATGCTCAAACCCTCAAAGACATTGATGGAAACATCAATTGAACTATCATTTTTTTATGTTTTCTTGAAAATATTCCAACACACTTGGACATGCTGCCTGCATGTGTGAGACAAATTAAACTCAACCATGCCACTATAACTCAATTATGTAATTTAAATTCTCGTGACAATTCTGCTGCTCCATCACTTATTTAAATACAGTATAGATCCCAATTATTCGTGCATGGTTCCCTCTCTTATTCATCATCTACATCATTCTCTTCATATTGTTGAATAGATATAGGCTAGAAAAAACATCCATAAATGATAATGTGTTTTTTAATGTATGAGATGTCAATTTTAGTTATCATGTTGCCTAAGCAAGCCATGCCCAACATTTTCAAGATTTGCTTCATCTCCATATAGATACTCATGCTTCATAAGAACAAATAGCGAAGCTTGCACCAACAAAAAAAGTAAATGAAATTAATGTAAATCAAATAAGAAGTAAAGATGCAACTAAACTGTAATAATTAAAATTGCTAAAAAGATTTACATAATCTAGAGCGAACACCACTTGCAACGGTTAAAGCATAAATCATAAAGAATGACTCGAAAAGTTGAGCAAAATAATCGAGATATGACTGGTAAATATGATGATTATGATTAGATTGTGTATAATTTATAGCAATTTGTTCATCAATTCATTGTAAGAGATGCATCCATCCACTCTAATAGCCCACCCCTTTTGCTTCAAATATTGAATTTATGGATTTAGAACCTTCGGAAGTTTCCTAACACAAAGTTGATAGTCAACAAACAAGATTACAGTTAATGCATATAACAGATTCTCCTTCGCTGCTGCACTCTCTATTGACTATAAGGAGGATCAAAATGGGGTGTTTCAATGCATTTTTTTAATAATAGAATATTTGTCAAACATTTTTTTATTATCTAATATGTTAAAGTTGTGAATTTTACTATATTTTTTAAGACAAGAATTATTCTACATCTATTAATTAGGATTGTAAGTTTATAAAATAAAAAAGAAAATATTCTGTCTCAAGACTGCTTGTTAAGGTAAAGCTTCACGCCCCAAAAACAAGAATATTTCAGCTACAATATGAATGTTTTTGCGTGTGTTTGTGGTGGAACTGAAACACCAGTTTAAGCGGTAAGCTAAACTCCTTCTAGCTTAATCACATTATGATGTGGAACAAACAATGGAATTGCAAGGTTTTAATAAGAAGCTTGTTTTAGTAATGAAATTATAGGACTAATGTTTCAATAAGTTAAGAATTTCAGTTTTCGTGGTTATCGACTTGCTTCAAGTATGCAATTACACGTTAGATTAACAGGACAATCCGAAATAATAACAATAAAATAGTAAAACAAACATGCGGTTAACGATAATCCGTCACTTAACAAATAGAGCTTTCACCTTAGAGTTTCCCTCTTGATCGCTCATTGGAAGTAAGGTTAATGGAGGAGGAATGTCAGCAATCCGAGTGATGCCACTGAAAGACAGAGAATGTCGGTGGATTTGATCAACGAGAAGTTGGCCGGAGTTGGAGAAATGGGTGGTCGTCCAGTGATCTTCTATTGTCCGGTCGGTTGTTGCTCGTCAATGGCTTCCACTAACATAAAGAGAATACAACCCACGTATTCTTCAACAGTGTCTTCGGATCCAAATCGGGGATCAAAGAACGACGATTGAATGATGTCAAGTTGCCCTTGAGAGTTGTAAACGAAGCCGTGGTTGACTTCCGGATCCGCCATCCATGAGCTTGAGAGTATCCGGGTGGTGTTCTTTGGTGATGCCGTCGCTCGGAAGAGGTGGAAAGGGGTAGTGGATGGTGGTAGTTAGTGGGTAAGGAGGAGAGGAGAGGGAAGGGGCCAGGTAGAGGAGAAGGACGGCTTGGGTATGGTGAGGTGGAGGTGATTTGGATTGGTTGAGTGGTGGAGAATTAACTTAAAAAATTCTGAGTTTAATTTTAGATTTTCTAATGGGAGGGATAAAGTTTAATTTGAATTCAAAATAATCCCAATTAAAGCTATGGGGCCGGCGGTTTTAGGAGGGAATTGTGGGAGTATTAATTGGGTTGTTGGGTTTAATTGGAGAGAGAAAAACAACGGAAAGGGGGCCAGCCATAGGAGGGGGAAGGGAGCATGTCAAGATTCAACGTATGTGGATCCAAAGGAATTAATTTGATTGAAATCAAATCTGATTTCAGTTTCATATTTGATTGAAATTAGGATAGCTTCCTAATTGGGTTTGAATAATATGAAGGTATTTGAAATTCAAAAAAAATTGATTGAATTCAAATAAATATCATTTCCTAAATAGCAAGGGTGTATTTTAGGAAAGTAATTAATGACAATTTGAAATTTGAAATTCAAATTATGTGACAACGGGAGGGGTCGGCGGTGTGGCTTGTGGAAAGGGGCGGATGGAGAGGTGAAGGCTGGCAGCTGGGTGGGTGGTGGCCGGCAGTTGGGGTGGCCAAGGGAGGTCAGCGACGTTGGAAGGGGGGTTCGGTTTAGGGAGGAGATGGGGCAACGGGAAGGGGATGCCGATTGGTGGAGGAAGGGAATTGGTATGAAGGTAAAAGAGAAAGAAGAAATCGAAGAACCGCGAACCTCGGAATCCACCAAGGTTGACGAGTATTGCTCTCACCCTCGCCTAGGGTTTCTCCTCTCAAGAACTCACCAAGAGATCAAGCAAGAAAGTGGAATTATCATTTATAATCATCATTAGAAAATAATACAAAGACTAGGCCTTCATATATAGACCTCCAAAGCACAAAATATAAAAGACACAAATGCCCTCAGGCTACAATATGAAACAAAAATCCCTCATAGGGGTACAAGCGGAAAACTGAAAAAAAAAATAATTAAAAGAGATGCAC